ATTCCGCACCAGAGGAATACAAGAAACTTGCCGAGCGGTGTTGTGATGCTGATCCTGATAAGCGTCCAGAGAATGGAGGGATACTTTGGTATGTTATTAGCAGCCTTGTTGAAAAGATCAATTCTGATGACAACACGTGGAATACCATCTATCATAATGATGTAAAACCCTTATCGTGTCTCGAAAAGGAGAGTAAATATTCTAGTACGCTTTTACCTACTGGCGATCTGCCTAAACCAAGAAATAGCTATGATTTGGATTCAGTTGCAGGTATGGTGACATGTTGATACAAATAGAGTCAATTTACAATGTTAACACCGTCAATTTCTTATAATTTAGGGACCCAACCTCTTTTTTGAATAAGCTTGTAATTCAAAGGTTTACTCCTCTTCCAATTATAATTATGCTATCACTATGTCCTTCCACGTATGTCAATTAACAGGGTGCCGAAATAAAATGGTACCTGTTTACTATTAGCTGCCTTTGTCGGGGTGGATGATCAGTTATTTGATTTTCATCAGATAAATTTATTTCATGTGTAAAATGCAATTGATAAGTGCATGTCATGCATTTAACATCAAAGGACAACAATTTAGTTTCACCAAGGATCCGTGTCAAAGATTCTATTGTTTGCCCGTTCTGTACCATTTTAGATAGCTTATTCCGATAATAAAAGGTTTTAGCGTGGCATTTATCCGCATGCAAATTACATAAGCTATACTTAGAAGCAGTCGGTTTACCACATTCTAAACAGGGGACGCGTTGACGCCTTTTCCAATGAATAGCACATCCTTCTTGCCGATAGCAAGGCCGACCACAGATCTTCCCCTCATTAGTAGGATACTGACAAATATAAGTTCCTGTTATCGATTATTATTTATTGAAACTTAATTGACAACTATAAACTATACAAGTGGCTCTCGATATAAGAACCCTTCGATATAAGAAAATTTCGATATAAGAAGGTATTTTTGCTGGACCCAATTTAAAATCTTATAACAAATGACTCTCATTATAAGAGATTTTCGATATAAGAAAGGAATTTGCTGGGCCCCGATCACTTTCTTATATCGAGAGCCACTTGTATTAATTTTGAATATTGATATCCATTGTTACGCATATGTTATAAGATGTCTTGTATACACATTCAAGTATAAAGGTTGCAAGTGCGCTGGGATTAAATGGTTCTTGATACCGTGCTTCACGGAGACATTGTAAATACACATCTCGTGTTTTAGCTCCTGTATATAAAGAAAGAGGTACCACAGTAAACTTTGATAAGATATAACTTAAAAGTAACCTCGCTACTCTTCCGTTTCCATTTATAAAAGGGCGAATCGTCAAGAAATAGACAAGAAAACATGCTCCGTATTTAATAGCTTCCTCCAACTGCAAGTCTGTCTTTCCAAATTTCTTTTTGTCAGTTACTAACACGGCCTTTCTATTTCTATGGTATCAAATCTAGCTCGAATACTCGATCCACTCGATCCACCCTCTCCGGATATTTCAGGTATAGTTTCTGGTTCATTTGAAGAACTTTGTTGTATGTAATCGTGCCGACGGATGGTGGTTTTATATTGAGGAATATCTGGATTGCTGGCAGCGTATGTTTGTACCAGGTGTTTACACACCAAATATGGGTTATTTATAAAAGCGGGACAAGAACAAATCCATTTATCAACATCCACATGATAGCTTTCTAGGCGTTCGGATCCTTTTCAAGGCATTTTCTCCAATCGGTTTTGAAGACTTTCCACCAAGATGGATATGCTCGATTGTTTTTGTATAATTGCCAAGTGTTTAACATGTCTGGGATCAGGCGGCCTGTTATCTTGTCACGGAAATACTCTTCAACAATGGAATTTAGCGTGTTTATAAATAAATAAAGCGCAATTTTTGGACCCTGTCACAAACACCTGAACAGGGTTTGCCATACTTGCGGAAAAGGAAGAAGTTGAGTTTTTTCTATCAAAGCTTTTTGTGTGACATACTACTATGCAAATATGCCATAGTTCCGAAAATAAACACCCCTCGAAAAATAAGCAATTCTTCTATATCCAAAAATAAGTACTCCCTATAGTTAGAGGTGCGTATTTTAGGAACTATATGGTAGTTATCAGAAATCTATTAAATTCCGTATTTACATATGGACAACAAGTGCTCAAAAGAGAATGGTATGTGATTCTATAGACGTGACTTGATTCTGTAACTTAGATCAATAAGTAAAAGTAACTTACAGAGTAGAGAAAGTGTCCAGAGGCAGATAATGATGGGTGCACAACAGTACGGAACAAGACCGACTTTAGCATTATTATTATATTGCATCATAAGGAGACGAAGTTCTGGCCCTAACAGGAATAGGATCTTCGCGTTTAGTGTTCTAAATAGAGTTGAGCAATAAGCATGTTATAGTTAGCGATTCGTAATAAAAGCGCGAAAGAAAAAGATGTCGACGCGCCCAAAGCATGTTTAGATTATAAATTTTCGTGACTAAAATCTGGAAATTTATTTTCTACATGGCCCTGATGCATATGCAAGCGAATTGATTGATGATAATATCTTATTATCACATGATACACATGACACATGCATGCAAAAAATCCGTAAGTATGTATCTTAATTATCGCTCAACTCTCTCACATGTTAGCATGCACACGAATGGCAAAACAAATCCGCAAGTTATTCGTGACAGAATATAAAAAAGATTGAAGTAACAGCCACCTATACCGGTAATCGGAGTTTCGACTGGGGTTTTCTCGATTTACACACCAAATGAGGAACAGTAACGACGATGATGTGAAACATCTTATGCCAGTGATGCACGAAAGAGAACATTGCATGCAAAATGAACATCACGCCACAGAAAGATGGATGCCAGGGGTTCTGAAAACAGTAGTAGCAATAGTTTACTTGCGTTGTTATCAATAGAAATTCTAATTATGTGTCATCGCGGATCTCGTGATTACCCTGCTGAATTAGTTAATTAGTCTTTTAAGCGGGCTTTCTTACCGTGATGTCAATATTTGCCGTCTGGTCGCTTTTAGCAATCTCTTTCTTGAAATCTCAAATTGTCAGTATCTAATGGAGTAAAATGGAGTAATAATTTATGACATGTAATATAGAATATTTCGGTTTGATACCTCTTTAGTATAGAGGTGTTAGTTTCCTTGTGCCAAAGCTTACCCCAATTTCAAAATTAAAATTACCAGAGATTGTTTTATTACCGTATGTAAAGTTTGATTTTTCCATTTCCCAACCTGTTGGAAAAAATGTGTGGCGTTCACAATTTTTAACCCTGAAATGGTTCATACTTTCATACTATTGTGGCTCTACTAAAATCTGACCCCCGAAATCGTCTGTGGCAAAATTCTATTTGCAGAAATGCCCTCAAAAACGTACATTAGTATTCAACAAGGTAAAAAACCCAGGATTCCACACCAACTCTGAAACAAAAAAGCCACAAGCAAAATGAGCGAAACTGAAATCAACCCCGTTTCCGTCTACAACAAAATCATCAGCTTAAAAGTCAAACCACAAAATAGCGCAAAGTCTAATGGTTCGGTTGAACCGCAATCTGTGAATATCTTACGAGTCGAAACCGCGTCCGTGTCCAAAGAACTTGGACGGTTTCGTGCTTGTGATAGTGTTTCCTGTTTCTATTGCCGCGAATGGGCACAGTATATTTATAAAAAGTGTTTCTCTTGGATGGCAAAAAGTCAAAGCAATGATACTGTAAAACAGATAGAAAATGGTACTGGTCCCAAAGAGAATGCAGCGACTATGTGTCAGTTACTCCATCAGCTTTGTCAAAAGTACGCTGACGATACGGGAACGTCTGTCGATCCGGGTGATTTTGTTGATGAACTCATTAAGCGTGTATTTGAATGGATCAAAACACCGAGCGCGGTGCCTCGCCATGACGTGTTCGCGTTTGTCGAGTTTGAGACTGTGTTGCAAAACATGCCCTACCTCGACAAGGAATCGAGTCCGATAAAACTGCTACAGGCAATTATAATCGATAAATCTCACTGCCAAATCTCCAAAGATTCGTTTCATCTCTTGAAGAATATAACAAAGGCTCAACTGACGGATCAAGTGCAACCAGTCTGTCATCACACTCGGCCTGCTTGGAAAATTCCAAACGATCTAGATGTGGACCGACAGGTTTTCAATGATCAGATGCGAGCTGAAGAGTCAAACCATGATCAGGCTTTGAAGGAAATTTTATCAGAAGTCTGGGGACATACTAACGTGTTTCTGGCCGAAGTGCAGAGATTGGCGAGCGTGAGGGAAGCAACATTTGAAAAGGGATGCACGGAAAGGTTGGATTCCTTTATGAAAGAGTATCATGAAGAAGCAACCCCGTTTCAGGATTATTGGTCGCCTATAGCCGAGACGTACAAGAAGACTGCGAAAGCCAAGAAGGGCAATAAATCAAACACATCCGATTCGGCTATGAATGCCGTAGAGGACGTTGACGCCGCTTTTTCCGCATACTTGAATAATGCTAGGACGATTCTGACGTTCTGGGAAGAGGGTTTTGTGAACAAATCTTATTCTGACGCAACAAATTTCGTCGATGAATTTGTCCAACAAATGAAAAAATGTATGGACAAGACGCCGGCTCGATTTGAAGAAGAAAACATGGCGACGATTGGTGAATTGGTCAAGCAATCTCAACTAGCAAAGACGGCACTTGAGAATATTGGGCCTCGAGTTAACACTAGAATAGCTGAGATGCAAGCAGAGGTTGCAAAACGGAATAAAGAGATACTGGACGAGATCGATGCTCTAGAGGAAGCATGGGAGGTTGAATCTCAAAAAACATTACAAGGTAGATTAGAAAAGGCTAATAACAAGGAATTCCGTAAGCGAACTAAAAAGCTGGAAAATCTGTTACAATCCACCAGGCAATGGACCATCAGTTCAGTGGGTACACTGTTTTCTGCGGTAGACTTTGCTCATCTCTTCATTGGGTGTTTGGAAGTGTTGCTGATGGAAGGGGAAGTATGGGAATCAGTACAAGTTCGGAAACATTGCAAAAAGTACGAAGGAGTTGGCAAAAAATTGGACGTCCGAAGGCAACAAATTATAAAAGATTTTAAAGAAGGTATTACGACTGGTCGTAAGGTATTGGCCGGGGTGATTGGACGATTGTTCTTGAGAGAAGCTTCGAGATTGGTAGAAGAGACATTGGCTCTGAAAAAACAAGACGAGTTTTTGCAGTCTATAGACCAAACGAAAACCGAAACTGGAAAAAAGAAGAAAGGAGGCAGCAATGGAACCGGGCCCGGAAATAATGCTGCTGGAAATAACGCTACAGTTTCTGCAGTAAACGATTGGACGAGCGGCGAGTCGAAGATAAACAATGCTGGAACGGTAATTAGTGTATCTTCGACCGCTTCTGTTGAATCTGCTCCTGTTGTCGAAGTATCCAAGAAGAATAAGAAGAAAAAGAAGAAGCGTAATAATAGTACGGATTCTACCGACCAATCAGCGCAAAAAGGAAGTCAGGCTGCCGATGATCAAGTTGCAAAAAATAAACGGAACGAATCTCAAAAAACGACGCGAAAGTCGTATGAGGACGCAGCCACCAGTGATCCTGTCGTTACGTCTAACAAGGAAACTTCAAACAAGCGAAATTCAAAGGAGAGCTCATCGTCATCCTCGCATAAATCAAAACCCTCTCTCGATCTTTCTCCTCTCAATGGTTCCCAATCGAAACCGGAAGACATGGATGAATCTCCCCGTACTCCGTCAAAGCCGCCGGGCCTTGATAATGAGGGGTTAAATGAGAAACAAGACAAAGCGTCGGCCGAATATCTTGAATATGTTAGTACATTCGATGGAATTGGCCGATCCGATCTAATCATGCTCGTACATAATCTACAAAAGGAGAACACCAATCTAGTGTCTACACTGATCCAAATGCAGCAAGAGGTGAAGGGGATGAATGCGCGATATTCCGAACTTGTAGATATGGCTCGAGAACGCGAGGTACAGACAGTGCAATTACTACAAGCGCGTAAGCAGCAGGAAATGGAAGACGCAACTCGATATATTCAAATGTTGGAGATGAAGATTGCTCATTTAGAAAAGAATCGTCACGGAAGTAGTCAGCCGGAAAGTCCGTTGACGGAATCTGCACCGCAGAGCCCAAGTCTAGCAATTGGCGGTTTGCCCAATTCTCAAGCTGGTAGTACATCGACGAGTTCGTTCTCGATGAATTATCAATTTGCCAATACTTCTCAGTCTTTTCTCAACCCATGGCGCGGTGCTTCCACGCCAAGAGCGACTAGCCTGCGGTGCGGCAATTGTGGTGAACAGGGACATGTTAGTGCCGACTGCTCTTCGGGATGCCGTTACTGTGGTGGTCTGAATCATTTGAGTGAGAACTGTGGTCAGTCCGGGATCGATGTAAGCGGTATTGGATTAGGCGCTGCGATGGCTATGCTGCATGCTGACGACGAGAGCTCTGGTGATGCTAGCGGAAAGATTGAGGAGATAGACGAATAAGAACAAATGCGATGGAACCAGTATACTGATAATGTTGATTTAATAGTTGATGTTTATGTATAAGACGGCCTTCTTGTATTTATGATAGACGTTGCACACGTGCACACATTGCACACGCATGCAATCTCTTTGTGAACTGTAAATAGTAATAAACCGAAGAACTTTTTTGTTCGACGAGTTCTGGTGACTCGAGGAAGCAGGGTCTTTCTGAGCATGCAGAATAGAGAACAGATTCGATTTATTTGCAAAGTAGTTGTTACCACCACCATCACTTTCCCCTGTACAGAAAATCTACTCGGTAACAATAAATAAAAGTATTTTTTTAATGGGTCAACTATTGTAAGAATACATAATCCATACGTCACGAAATTGTTGGCTGTAGAAAAAGTTGTAGATAGTAAGTGATTGAGATAATCTTTGTTATTATTAATAATGTATTTATCCTTTGTTCGTTTAATAAATTAACATTACGAGGAGGAGGAGACATGAACATAATGCTCTGTTTATGATAAAAAAATGAGCCAACTCCCAAAAAAGATTATTTCAAACACCGCCATCCGATAATGTTCCTCTAAACGCGTAAATAAACACTCGCAGCATCTTCAAAATGACAACATAACACCAACTCGGATGTATATTTGTATCGCGTGAGCAAATATGTGTAGCTAGTATTCTAACTTACGGTATGCTTTTATCTTTAGCGATAGCATTGATATTATTCCAATAAGAATGCCATTAACATTGTGGTGGGGAAAAGGCGATTTCAATCCAAAAAAAGAAAACAGCACAAGTCTCTCTTTTCGCATTTGGTTTGACATTTAAAAAGTCAATTTTTGTTATTCGTATCAAGATTTCCGTACGCGCTTGTTGTGAACGTGCGTTCAGATGTTGGGTATGGGGTATTAAGGACGGTGATGTTATAATTTACGCGTAAAAAAGCCCTCAGAATTTGGGGGCATCGTGCGATTTCCAAAGAAATTAATGGATACGTACGTATACACGGTAAAATTCACTTTAACAAAGTTCTTTCCAGAACGGATTCATATAAAAAGACAGTTCACTTGAGCGAACTTTCAGCAAATCTGTACTGTTGTTGTAACTAACCTAAACTGTCATTGTGTAACAAGATACTATCCAGGCTTGCAAGCATTGCATACTTTTTCATAATACTATGTTTTTCTTCATTATATGCATAAATTTTACACCCAGTAAAGCCCGCTACTCCTACTGCATAGCATTTTATACTTGGTAACTTTCTTGTGAGAGTAAATTTGTTTGTTTGTTTGTTTATGAACCCTTACCCTGAGCTTTTGCATATGAGCAAAGTGCTTAATGCTTCTATTAAAGGGTTAAATCTCCAAAGCCTATAAAGCCTATATGATGCTACGCATTAGGGTGCTGGATATTTGAATTATCAGTACATTGTTTATTTGTATAAAAATCAATGTAAAGTATGATTGATTGTTTCAAGTTTGCATTTTCTGACACGTATGAAAGTTCAAAACTGTTCGACATCGCGCAGGTGCAAGTTCGAGTGAGCAGCCAACGCATAGTTTCAAATCCGCTACTAGTACTAATTCTATGTTACCTCGTCAATTACATGTTTGACATTAGGGGTTTAGGAGAACTGCACCGTGACTCTTGTTCCGTTCCCAACATGTTTTCACTATTAACCGACCGACTATATTTGTCAAATTACTATACCATTCTACATACGCCCGCTTCAGAGACACTGGGTCACGCGCTACAACTGACGAACGTTATACAAACTTTTTATGCCAATTCAAGGGGCATGCACCTTTGTAGATGCTAAGTGAACATCTTATTTGGGTATCTGACACAATGTTTACTCTTATTATCCGCCCTTGTTCCCGAGTAGTAACCATACTTGCGTTTATGAAAAACTGCGCAAAAAGTTCCTCCGAGTAAACTAACGTTGTACGTTTGTCATGATAAAAAGATAAATAAACGCATATTACATTGTAATACTAATTACTAATGAAAAAATTTTTATTTCAAATAATTTATGCTACATAAGCACGTGTTTTACACACTATTCGTCTTTAAACTCGAAATCTGATAATCTCGCTCTTGTGACCACAAATAAACAAACCAAACAAGTGGTGGTGACCTAAACAAGTCTTGTTTGGAAGGTTATTACTGTATTTAAATGGGTGATAAACGCATGACCAAGGTGATGACCACTTGATTGACAGTCTTCAAGTTAACTTTTCTAGTAGTTGAGTTTATTATTGTAGCATCCAAAAGATTTCATATACGTATAGCTTAACGTTAACCAAGTTTGTATTAATTAGGACATCGAGAAATGTAATATTGATATGCAGTCTCATAAATTTCGTGTATCACCATTAGAAGTTTCAATTCATGGAGCAAATCTTGTAGGTGTCATTCTGCTTAATAGTGTGCAAACTATTGTTACAGAGTGCAAGTCTCTTGTGACAAATATAGCGTGTTTCTATTCTCTCTAATAATAATCTTGGCGGTTAGTACGGCATTACGATATGCGGTAATTTATTAGTATAATAGTATGACACCTGCCAAATAATAATCTTTCCCATATACAGCATAACGCTGCCATGACGGTGGAAGGTGCTTTACGAAAATTCTTTAAATGCGCGCGAAATATCTTTGATTTAAAAAAAAAAAAGAAAAGTTACAGCAGTAATTTTCCCATTACAGGTTAGACATCTTTTACGTAACGTGCAGAGGTATACCGGCCATATTGTTTCCACTGCTGACTAATAATCCACGTGCTTATTCGAAGCTTTCATTAGCGTTCGATTTTTCTTCTTTATTTTATTTTTTCCCTTTGCTCATTCCCCTCATCCCCACATCGAATATGCGTGAGAGTGAATGAATGAAGTATGACACACATTTGATGAATATAAATCAATCATTTAGCACTTAATATTAATGACCGACAAGAACAATCATTACCCTCGGACATGACACATTTAATCTCGAGATAATGAACATGAAATGCAAAAACGGATTTATGCCCTTTCCTCACCACTGATCCGCCATTTTTTTTTTTCAAAGTACGATTGATCGGTACAAAAAGTATAACCAATCCCTGCTAGCCCTTCTTGTTTATATGTGTGCAACATGAGTGCATCCACAAAATCTATTGGTATTACGTAAAAAAATTGTTCGATAAAGAAGGGGGGAGTTTTTTTTTTCTCTTTTTTTTTCTTTTCTTCATATGTTGCATGATAAAAAAAAAATAGAACGGGCGGCGTTGTTCGAACATTCTTTTGTTTGGAATTTAAATTCATCACCTCTTTTAAGGTAACCGAGGCCGTAGTAGCGGTGCGCCCACCTCTCAAAATGTCTTGTCAACAAAAAGGTATTACTAGAATCAATCGTGTTGATGTGAGATGCCCAGACATCAAATTAAGCGAGGGCATGCACCAACCAAGTTTGTTGGGTGTCACTAGTAAGCCATGCAGTTATCTGGGTTATACAATTGTAACACACCCATTCTTTGAAAATGCAGTGTCCACATGCAGACGGCTGGTGTGGAAACTACTTTCTGTATTCGGTAGAAGTTAACGACTAGTTTTATACTATGGATCTCGGAGAAGAAAGATGCGTCTAACCAAAACGATAGTGTCATTTTTGACACTTCGTGTTATATCCATGACATGATCATTCACAAGTTCATATTCAATGGGTCACAATAAACAGCAATTTATATGAACCATACGATTGTTACTTTTTATTGGGTTTACTCGGATAGAGCGAACCTTTTTTAGAATTTAGGGGTTTTTTTCCTTTTTTTGTGCTTTTTTTTTTGTGCTTGTTGAAACATACTTTTTTTTTTCTCTCTGGCGTAGAAAGAACAGGAAGACAAAAAAGGGCAATTTTTCATGAAGAAAAAAAAATCAAAAGTAATTGTACAAAAGGGTTGTTGACAAGGGAAAAAAAGAACTAAAAGGAAAAGGAAAAGGAAAAGAGAAAGAGAAAAGGGAAAAAGGGAAAAAGGGAAAAAGAGAAAAGGGAAAAGGAAAAGGGAAAAGAGAAAAAAAAAAGATAAAAAGAAATAAAGTGTGTCGAAGAAGAAGAAAAAAAGACCTAATTAGACAGATCAAGAAGAATGTTCATAGAAAATTAAAAGATTTTGCCCAAAAGTTCGTTGTTGCTAGATATACTACAAATGCGATGCAAGCTAATGTGTGTGAGAAACTAAATGTTAATCGTGAAATAGAGGATGACCTGGGACTTCTCTTTTTTTTTTAGTATTTACAAGAGCAAATGATGAAAGAGTAGAAACAGAATCGAAAAGTGCAGGAGAGATAAAAACATTAGACCAAAATAATAAAGAAAAAAGAAAAAAGAAAACCAAAATAACCAACATTATTAACCGATCATTACACTCTCGCCAATAACTGGACATCAGAGATATATATAAAAGTCAATACTCTTCTTTCACCTCTCTCCAACAACAAATTCGACTCGTGCATTCTACTCTTTTTGTTTTCTTATTCACCAGGTGATCACGCGGTCACAACTCGAGGCATCCTACAAAGTTGCGTTTCTTGTTGGTCTTCGCGTAGCAGCAGTGCGCGGTGAAGGAGAATGAGCATTTTGTGGTGAAGGAGGATGAGCAGTGCGTGTTGAAGGAGAATGAGCAGTGCGTGATGGAGCTGTCGCACGACGACGTGGCTGACGTTCTTTCTTTTCTTCTTTCTTTTCTTCTTTCTTGGCGTATCCGGTTAAATAACGCATATAGAGGAATGTTTCAGCAACCCCAACTACTACGCTGCCAGTCAAAGCAAGCAAGACACGCTATTTAAGGGAGGGAAAAAGATTTCTTTAGTAAATGGAAGAAGAAGAAGAAGAAGAAGAAGAAGACTGATTGATGATTGATATTATAACATGCGGTATTTACCATGCCAGTGTCTCCAGTGATTGTCTGAGCAACGTGATAAACGGCGGCAAAGACGGCCACCATGGTGAAGGTAATGTTGATAATGGCAGTCAACTGTCCTCGTATACTAGAGAATTCTTCCGTGTCAAGAAGTTTAAATGTCTCGACATCGTATGAGGATGCTACGCGACCGATCATGCGAGCGTACTCTTTGTTTGCTTGCTCTGCGAGGATCTGTTCAAGGCGTGCCATTAATTGAGGGTTCTAATTATAGACAATACAATAAATGAGAAATGGAAATAATTGATCCGTTAGCAAAATGAACATGTGGTGGTAATTTCACGCTATTATTATGGTTAATTGGCTATCAGGGTTACTATTGGTTATTGGTTATTCGCCGTTATTGTTATTATTAACAAAAATTACCTTTACTCTGTCTTTGCGTTTTTCAATGTATATGCCACTGCCCTTTAATAGTTCATGTAGCCAGAACCGCGAAAAGCCTAACAACGATACGATATAGTTAAAGAGAGAATTAATAAACGACTCTTTACGAAAGCAATGCTTGGATATGTCTGAGACAATTTCATCACCAATTTATCATAAACACATGTCACATCATTACATACCAATTTCGTTTCCTAGCTTTCCGTCTTTGCTCAACAAGAAGGTTGATACCTCCTTCATCAAATCCAGCGGAATGCCAGAGCTAGATTTCAAATAGTTTCTGAGCCTACTCTTTGCAGACTTGTCGAATTCGGGCGAATTCAGTGCTTGATATACGGCACTTCGAATGCGATCAGTGAAAACCAATAATACCATTATGATGTGTGCGTATAAAAAGGTCTTATGTGTATGGGGTATATAGCTGATAATCTATAGAAGACGTGAAAAGTGGTGGTGGTGGTGATGGTGTGGTGGTGGTTGAATTTTATTTTTTTTTGGTTGATTTTTTTTGTAGTGCGTTAAAAAAAGCTATATGCGTATTCGTTATAATAGGAATGAAATCCTAATACTGTTATTTTGATAAAGCTTAGATACAAGAAAGAATCTTGTTCAAGCAATGTTCATTAAAAAATGGCGAGGGGAGAAATGTTCGATGCCAAAAGTTGACGGGCGCTGGGTTTATAAATGTTACTGATGGGGGGGACGGGATTGATAATACTATGCGCATTGATTATACTACGTACATTGATTATACAGTACATGATAAGTACGGTATAACAATAGTATAATTTATTTATTTTAATTGTACTGCTAATGTTGATTATGTCACGTTACATAATACTGTTATAGTATATGATTGAGCCTACAGTAAAATTATACACACACACACATACACACATACACACACACACGCACACACAAGTTTGTTGATAGATTGATTGTATATTATTATTATCTGTATATATTTGTACGACAATTCACTAATCAACATCAGGCATCGTAATTGCACACAAGGTTAATCACCACCAAGCAGAAAGATAACATTCGATTCTCAAACTTTAATCCTTTGGAAAAATTTTTTTCAGTGGGATGGGAACATTGAACGGATGGGAATAAATTTCCCAAATAACAACAATGTATAATAAGGGATGTGTATAATTTGTATTGCCATTTAATAAATAGCACACTCAGCATAATGCGCATTTGGTTATAAATTATAACCAGCCGAGTCAACCAGCCAAGTCAACCAGCCAGCCATCCGCCATCTGATGAATAGCTAAAATCTACATGGTATCAAATGTGTCACCTACATACCTGTGTACTACTGTGACATAACGATAAATGATTGTAATCTCGACCATTCGGGTCACGGCCACGGCTTTTTGAACACAGACGATCAAACATACATACATACAGTCTACATATACATACAAACATTCAATCTAAATATTATCCAATTCGTTTTTGCATCCATCGAAATGAATGTAATAAATTAGACATTTTATAATTCACCATTTACTTGTTCCTCGTTTTTCTGTGTTCTCTCGTGGTGTTCTTGTGTCAAACGTTGATCATCGTGGTATTGCGAAAGAGTAAACATTGCAGCAACGGGGCATACCGGGATGTTGAATGCATCCTCACAAAGAGACATTCTGTTAAAGGCACTTGATATATAACAATGGAAAGAAAACACAAAAAGGATATACATTCATTGTGGTGATATAGGGAGAATGGGGAGCATATAAAATATAAAACTCGCTACACTACTTACTGCACGGCGGCACAAGAACAACAATACTATTTTCCCTCTGTATTCGGATGTGACGGCCTTTTTTTACAAACTCGCATCAACTTATTACTTCATTGCACATTTAATTACTGAACGCTATTTTTACTAACCACGCAAGCACATGGAAAGATGTCATCATGCGCATATTCGCCTAAAAGTCTACGATCGCCGTATCCTATTGTTCTAATGCATGGTAGTCGTTAAGTGGGAAAGCAAAAGTGGAGGGAATAAAAATAGAGGGCAATTGGACAGACATGGATATGACAATTGTCAAACAGGGTAGAGAGAGATAAATGGGAACTAGCTTGTGATATTACGTATATATGTATACATATAGATACATATATACGTACATACATACATACTGACTAACTGACATACAGACGTACATACAGACAGTACATACATACAAGACAGACAGATATACAGATATACAGACAACAGACAGACATACAACAGACATACTATCTATACATAAATAATATATATATAATATCCATTATGGCTATGCAGGTATCAGTGGGCGTGGTTGACAGGTCTGCGGACAATAGGATTGGATTGTTCCCTATAACATACTTATCAGCATCTGATAGTCAGCGTAACCCAAACAATTCCATTTATGTGTTCTACGGAATGAACCATTGATGAATGCGCAAATCAAAAGTAGTACTGATATCAGCCAGCCATCGAATGACATTGTTGATGATATGGTATGGCTACTCTTACTCCTACGGTACTACAGTACCACTACTACAGTACCACTACTACTACAGTACTACTTACTACTTTACTGTATATTTTTTTGTTATCCGTAATCTTTTTTGACATAGGGGTTTTTTCCATTTACTTACTCTCGATTATATACATTGTGAAACGTCTCGATCGATTCATACTAAAAAATCACAATGACAATACATTAAAAATAGCGATCTTACTTTGTTAAGAACAATAGACTATTTGTTAGTCCCATCAAAAACCATAATCCAAGTATAGGATCGACGATCCAGAATCAATAACGTTCTATGCATAAGGTATGGATATCAAATACTTATAGTTCACTCGTTGATGTGTTTGCCATTCAAACAATTAAGGTTATGCTAATGAGACAATATCAAATAATTAAAATAAATCAAAATAAACTCTCTCTCTTTTCTTTCCGTTTTCCTTTTCCCTCTTTTATCATGCCCCTTTTACCCATCGGGTAAAAATAATATATATGTATACTGCATACCACTTGACGGCATTTTTAAGAATAAACAAACGCTTTCCTGTAATCTTAAACATCTTGATTTCCTTACTTGGAAGTTTGCTTCCAAAGTTCTTTTTCACAAGTTCTTTCGACGTTTTATCGATTGTATGGAATACCAAGTGCAAGGACCCAGAACTGTCAAACTTTTTCGTATGGTAAACAGGGGATGAATCATGTCATGCTAAACGATAATGGATACGTTTGGATGATGTCAAGGAGCGCAGACCAGTGGGATACATATTTGTTAAGTATATGAATTTGTGTATATTGAATTTGTGTATATTGTACCTATATGGCATTCATTCCCTTTTACTGCGTGCCTATCTTTTTTTTTTTTTTTTCCTTTTTTTTCCGCCTTTGACCATTAACGGATTATATCTTTTTTGTATTCTCTTGTTTCGCTGTCAAACAATGTTCTGGTGAGAAACTTTTAAGTTTTCATTCCCGATCCTAACACTATTCTCAGGGTATTTACTAATACTAACCATATGTTTGTGACCATATGACTTTTGAAACAGATACAAAGAAGAGAAGAAAAAAAAAAAGCCCACTATTGCAATAACCCGTAGCAGTAGATTACATCATTGTATACAATTATTGTGTTGATTTACTTGATTGAATTTATATACCATACATCAAAAATATCATATGTTTTCATACTAATATATTCCACAAGCCTTGAAACGGGTCTGAGCATATGTTTTTGTGCGGGACCCTCAAACTCACGCACGGACCAATTAGATGACAGCTCAACTCGTCGTTTTTTGACAAGATGACCTTCTGAACGGCTGGAACACTAAACTTTCGACAGCAGTGGAACTGTTTCGTCTCTGCCATATCGTCTATACCACTACAAGTACGTACGTAGCATGCACTTTTTTAACAAAGCGTCTCAAACCTTTTGTTGTTCGATTGCTATGACATGCTTTGTTTCGGCTATTTACTTTTACAAATTCGCCCGAACAGTGTCTCCTCTCTGAACTTCACATGTTTGTACTGGTCCCAAGCATAATTCTCAACATCACTCACACACAAGGGACAAAACGCCTACTTGCATTATAAAATTTTTTTTTACACTGCCATAGTGTAACACGTTTCGTTTCATTCATTTTCCTGATTGGTTAACGTAATCGGTCAGACAAAGACGATAACATCTGATTTAAAAGCGTATGTGCCACCAGATAGACGAGGCTTATTTCCGAAGAACAAATGGATTCGACCATAATAATTGTATCCATTGTCTAAATGAATAAAGTTATATGCTTGCTGCCACATGACTAAATGATTGCATTATGGCATCGTAAAGGATCATCTCGTATGTTGTGTATTAGTATTAGTGTGTATGTGTGTATATTAATATGTGAACACACATTTCAAGTTCTCCGACAATGACATACATTGTAAAGAGATATCTTTGATATAACCAAGATAAGAGAAATCTCGTCACATGCCATTATCTCAAACGTTTACAACCCAATCTGTATTCCCGCCCCAACCCTATCAAAATCCTTGACGTTTTACCAGATATCTGTCTGCAATAACCTGCTTTTTGTCAGCCATATCCATCCTAGTTGATCAGGGTAAAATCAAGAATATATCGGGTTTTGCCAAGAAAAGGAATATTTGCATGGTGACAGTTTTCGATCAAGTAGTTGCGCCCTTGAATTACATATTCAGAAACTCAGATATGAAGTGTTCGTCACTCAATCGAACGATGATGTCAGCGTGTTACCCAATTGAGATATTATCTAATGCACAATGCGTTAAGTAAGCTTTAGAGGTCCACTTTAGTTGCTTCTACAAAAACTAATGCGCAATGCGCAAATTCTGACATGGTTCGGCTCTGTCGCCCACAATAAAACTTTTTATATACTATAAACGGCTTAGCAGTACGCAGATTTGCGTTTTCGTCATAGATGAAACGCTTATATTAAGTGGCGTGAAGATCCCATATTTCGAGGACTCTATTTGCGCGACGTCTGCTCTTTACAACGGAGGAGCGAAAGCCCGGATCCCTCGTTCTTACCGGGAATTACCTTTTCGTTTATGCGAAAAACTCTATCTTGTAATCTCTGGTTGCAGACTTGGTAGAAACAGAAAATTTAGCACCATCCTTAACAGTGATTATCGCCAAGGAATTTCTGATAACGAAATAGAAAACTGAAATTAGATTACATGATGGCAGTTCCTTAGTGCGCGCGCGCGCGCGCGGATGCCCATCAAATGTATAATGTATTTAGTATTAGGCGCGTGCGTTTCCCGAGAACTTTGGTTCAGAATGTGATTACTCAAATTGTGTACTGTATGGGGCAGACTGCAACAAAACCAGACAAAGTGAAACATTTGTGGCCAACGCAACAAAAATCTGAGGTTTACTACAAGGCAAACTCGTTAAGGCTAAGCCGAAATTGCATTAAGCCGAAGTTTTTCTGGTTTCCCGAATTTTTATTATAGCGTAAGCCGAAATTTATTAATAATTTATGTTAACCAACAACAATAATAATAATTTTATCTCAGTTGTCACGTGAATGTGTATTGATTGGTTCGTTTCTTGAATCCTATGATTGAAACAACTCTTTTTTTGCACCGCCTACATACATGCTTGCTTTGTATATCTTCTAATATCAAAAACAATTTCTTCACATACCATTGCAATGTCACAAACAAGCGCTCGATTGTAATCGGGCAGTTTTGTTTACCGATCATGCGTCCATTGTGCCTTTTCCAGTTACAGAATTCAGCCATCTACGTATTTGGCGTAATATTCTTTACGAAAAGTCTTTTCGTTTAAACACGTATATATGAGTAGGCGCTTGTTACAATAACATTAATTCTTCAAATGAACGATCATGGAGAAAGTTCAACGAGTGGTTCTTCAAATGTTATGTCCATAATAAGCAATTCAAAAAATAAAACACCAGAGAATTTAAAGGAAAACATAAAACGCAAAACGCTGACTGGCCTCGAAAAAAATCTCTTTGTATATTAAAGCGAATGTTGATATTATTTTCTTATCTAATTTAAGAATGTTAAAGGAAATAATTGAGACTAAACAACAGAATACGTTACTATTACAGCAAGCAAGTATTCTTTCATTTTACCATTAATTTAGTAAAACGAACATCTTGATAAGCCGAATAAATTGTCTCTTCCCCAGACCTTCGTATTATCGAGTTTGCCTTGTATATGGGGCAGACTGCAACAAAACCGAACATTTGTGGCCAACAACAAAAATCGGAGGTCACACGTTAATAAATCTGACCATGTGATTATCATTACGCGCACTGCAATTTTCGAATATGCAAGTTCCACCGATCCAAAAGGACTTTCGGTTCCTAGATTACTATCGTCACCGGCAGAAACAAGCTGATGACATTAAATCAGCTGCCCAGCGTTTGCTCGGCTGCTTCAAAATTCGAGTTTTTTTTTTGTTATAGCTGGCAGGCGGTGTGGGAGAACCCATTGAAGGGAAGTATACTTCCTGAGAAGGGGGTACATATTCACACAACTACGGCGGGCTAGATACCCGACCTTACGGTGGTGCCGTTGTGATCTACCTGCCAGCTTCTTCTTGCCGATTGTTTTCAGGGACATCGAAAGTTCTGGACAAATATTGAGCAGGAGATGCAGGCTACAAAACTTGACATTGCCGAGGTGTGCCATTATATGATGTTGCCTTATTGTTTATTTTTTTTTTGTTTAGACAGCGGCAGCTTGCAAAGTTATAACTAGGGCTGCAGATGTTGTGGATACAGCAATTACGAACGTTCAAGAGAAAATGGTAGGGATAGTTTTATTGTAGTTGGTATGGATGGTTTAGTTTAGTGAATATTTAATATTGATATATAATAATAACCGAACCTGTCATCCATTTTGCCAGAAATCTAACTGTAAGCATGCCAGATCTGTTAGTGACAAGAAGGTAGGTTATTATTTGCATTACATGCTTGTTATTTATGTTATTGGTAAGTAATAGAAATAATTATGATTTGTGACAAGTGTAAAGATAAAATTGCAGAGATTAAAAAATCTGTAATTATTCAATACTTAACAATTTGTGAAAATTGTTCAAAGAAGATTGCTCATATATGCCACACTTGCTATGAACCTATCTATAAAGATGAATTGGTTTATGAAATATCACCTGGTCAGAAAGCCCAAAACCCTAGTCCACAACTCCCATTAAAGTAAACTTGGACAAATTACCAGAACTATTAATCCCCAATTCGTTAGCTCATTGCAATTTTCATCAAGACACACAACATTGTTAACAAGCAAAGTGTATCTGCCATTATTTCAGTTATAGTTGGAGTTTTAACTGGTGGCACATCTTTCCTTAAATCACAGAAGCAATCTATTCTATTTCTCATAGCTCGACCACAATTATTACAATGTGGTAGAACATCATTGTCAAGATTTTTTTTGCATTCAACACAGATATAAGCAATATCACTACAATAATTGTTGCTGGTATTGTAAGATAATATTTTGTAATAGCAGTTAAACTTCTTTCTTTTTCAAAAGAGCAAAAATTGCAATGTCATTTATCTCCTCAATAGCTAACTTCATTATTATTCCTTTTGTAAAATGTCAAACTTCTCTTGAGTTATTGCTTTTGCTTGCTTAATTCTGCTTTTTACTTTGTTAGTTAGGAGTTTAAATTTGTTTTG